CATGGTCTAATTTTAAGGGATTGTTAAGATTTGATTTTATAATTTGTTTTTGTTATCATTTGAGCTATAGTTATGATTGATATCTTCTACTACTTCATTCACTGTGCTATTTCGGATTTAACTGTATTCCAACTTTACCACTAAACTAAGGCAACTGTTATGTTCAGTAACGTTATGGCATAAATTTTGACTGACTAAAGCATTTGAATGGGAACTCACCAAGTGGATAAGAATGATCTTCCCATCAGAGTAGTATGTAGTATGGTCCAAACCCTATATAGAATTGTTGAATGAAGACCACAAATTTCCACACGAGTGTGGTTATTTGTATTTAGTGATGAGCTGAATAGTTTGGTTGGGCACCTGTCCTATGCCATTTGGGATCGAATGTGATGTAGTTGGATTTTTTTTATTTAGTACATATCCTCTTCACTTACTATCTAGAAAGACAGATTTAGAATATAATAAAAATGATCGGAGGCTTAATGGATGAAAGTGATGGCATCGGATACTAATAGCCCAAAATTGCATTTTTGAAATAAATATTTGTTATAATTGTGATCCTATGGCATTCTTGACAAATGATAAGTGATATTGCATAGTCTTTAATTAGGGGGGAGAGAGAGTGAGACTTAAAACCATGGACCAGTTACAGAGTGTTTAGATGAGAGAGTCAGGTGAACTCACAAGGCCTTAACCATATGGGCCCATTATTACCTACAAGACTAAATCCCCTCATTTTCATGTTTCTATGCCAATGGAAAGCCTCCACCCCTTGATTTGGATAAATCTACATCTTGACTAACTCCACCACTTGCCACCTATTTTGACCGGGTACTTCTCTGGTGTCCATCGGACGTCCGAAAATGATCAATCAAGTGTGAAGTTACATTGTGATGGTGGAACAATTAGTGTGGTCCTGTAGGGGTCCTTAATTTAATAAGTTCTCTATGGTCCCAAACCCAAGTGAAGGCCTTTAGGTGGGTATGAGAAGGGTCTGGTGAAGCCAACTATGCTATGCAGATGCATGTGAATTACCCATGGGCTGGCCCAAGAATCTGCTCCTCCTTCAGCTCATAGTCTGATTTGATTTTCGGGTACCTGTCACTGTTCATTAATTGCATGGAAATGTCAATACTATATAATAAATAATTGAATTAGTCATTAGACTTCTTAGATATTTAAATCATATTGACACATTAATTATATTCTATGTTTTTTTACAAGGAAATTTTTCATTTTTTGACTCGAGAAAAAAAATTTAAAATCCTCGACCCTTTGATTGTTTTTGATTTTTCTTTCAATGAACTAAGCAAAATTAGAAGTAGTTGGTGACGCCAAAAATAAGTTAAAAAATATCTACATATCATGTTTGCATTAAGGCTCAATAACGAAGTCTGACTCTCCATATCTTGACCTTTAGTTGCATATCTAAACACATGTAATACTGTCCAAGTCGTCCAGGTATGACCTCAAGCAAGGATGATTAGTTTGTTCATATCATTTCATGAAAAAGTTTAATATTTCTAGTTCAGGTTAGGAGCATAGATTGAACTCCTTTTTTCATGAGCCGGCTAAAAGATCACCTCAAGAGAATAACTTCTCGTAGACATAAAGGATCATAGTATATCCAAGCTTGGAGAAAGATATTAATGTGACTTCATCATATTTTAGGACACGTCACACCTAGGGAATGTGATTTTCAATTATTAAATATTCCCCTAACAAAATTATAACAAATTTGGGGGTCATTTGATGATGATATGAGGACCATTCCACCTGTCTATAAATACATGAGGTAATTACCTATGCACACAAAGGCCAATTGTAATCCAAAGGCTATAAAACATCTAAGGAGCAAGAGACTATTAAAATAGACTACCCAAACTTTTTAACTAGTAATCTATTGTATTTTTTGTGTTCTCCGTAATTTTTTATCTCTTACCTCTACTTTACGCTTATTATTGCATGTTCCAAAGGTAGTCTCTGCCATTTGCTGGTCATTCATCCACATTTTATTTGATTATTATTCACATGAAAGTCGGTCCATAGCAGTGAGAGTACAATTGATTTCGTCGATCGAACAAAAATTGCTTTTTGCTTTTTTTTTTTTTCTCTCTGGCTTGACTATTCTGTTTACTTAACACAAGTTTTATTTAACTTTTACGGATCACTTGACTACCCAGCAAGCTCTAGCTCTAAAGCAAGAAGCAACGGATTGAGTTGTGCAAAAGCCCTTGCTTGTTAGTGCATTTGTTTTCATTTAAGGCCTTTAGGCTTAACTAGTATAATAAGATAGAAAGAGTTTTTCTCTTTATTCCATTGCTTTGAGCTTCTCTGCTTGAACATTTAGCTCATGGTTTTGAATTTTAACATCATCAGAAGTCATTCTATCATATCATTTATTTTTCTAATTTTAATCGTACCAATATCAAACATCAAATGCACTTAGACTTTTATTATTATAGAATATAAGAATTGTCAAATGTACACCATCTTATTTTCATATGATAAAACCTTTAACACTTTAACCCTAGACAAGGTCGAAGTTTCAAACCAATCATCTTATAGAAAGAGATAACAACGTGCAAATCTTTCACTTTATTTTATGAAATATTGTCTTACAAAATTTAAATTAAAATTTTGAACACTTTACAAGTGAATTCAATGAACTATATTTCTATTCTATGCACCCGTACTTGCATTATGGAGTTGAGAAGCAAAAGTAGGGGTCTTCATGGGTCTAGGTAGTATAGGTTTAAACCCTTACTCAAATGAGTTATCGAGCATACCAGGTCAGGCTTCAGGTAGGAGTAGACTACTTGTAGCTCAACGTGCCTATTGAGTGGGTTTGTTTGACTGTTCTGTTTACGAGCTTTTTTATATATAATTTTATTTAAAAATAATAAATTTTTTTGTAATTTAATATTTATGTAAATTATATTTTTTAAATAAAAGTAGAGTCCAACTTATTCACTTATCTATCATTTACATTATTTTACCCTTTAAAACTTGTATGTTTAATACATGAAAAAAAAAAATACATTATTTATATGAAAAATTTTATCAACACCCTTTTTAGTTAGGTTTAAATTTAATGACATCCACTTCCGATTCTGAAATTTTATTGCACTCTCTTTTAATTTATACTTTCAAAACAAAGATATTTTCTTAATGGTAACTTCTAATGCTTTGACTATATATTTTTTGAAAATATCAAAACTACACTTTATTATATAAATAAACTAAAATGTTGTCAACCCTTTCTCCATTACATATAGAAAAAATTTCATTTACATCCTTGTAGTTAGGTCTAAATTCAATTACGCCTCCTCGATTCTAAAACTCATTGCATATCCTTTTGGTTATACTTATATGTCTTAGCCAACCAGTAGTTTCATTTCTATCAATATATTATCCTTATAAATTTTTATCATTTTAAAGTGTTGCATGATAAATTTGTTATAATGTTAATCATTATATTATCACTCATTTAGTTATATAATCAAATTTTTATAATTTTTATAATAAAAATTACAATCGATAAAATTAATGTTAAAATTTCATCCATTTATAATTCCTCTGTTATTGTCTGTCTTTTACAACGTCACCTGACCACTATTTATACATCACCATTCATATATAAAATTTAAATATTAATTTGGTGTTAATTTGATAAAATTAAATATTAATTTAATAAAATTTAATATTAATTAAATAAATTTAAAATATTATTTTAATGAAATTGAATGTTTATTTGGTATTAAATGAAATAACTGATATTAATTTGATAAGGTTAAATGTTAAATTAATAGAATTTAATAAATTAAATTTTAATTTAATAAAATTGAATGTCAATTTGATAAAATTAAATGTTAATATAATAAAACTAAAAAAGAGTGTATTGACATTTTAAAATTATGTCAATTTACAAGGAGTGTTGTTGAAGTTATGTCTGTTTACGAGGGGTGGATAAAATTTATCTTATAAAATATTCAAGGATATTTTTATAAATTAATGTTTGTCGTTAACGTCGTAATCCTGACATATATTGACAAGGAGTGACAATAAAATTTTAGAATAGAAAAAGGATGTTATTGAATTTAAACCTAATTATAAGGGGTGTAGATGAAATTTTTTTTTATTTATAATATTTAAATTTTAAAATTTCAAATTCTGATATTAAGAGATTTATTTTAAATTTTAAAATTTAACGGTCTATAAATATAATTTTTTTTCCAAAAAAGGGTGGATAGACTGGAGTTGGTTGGCAGGTATGATAGGTCGGGTTTTAATGGGTTTTTCAGATGGACTATTGGACCAAATTTTGGGCTGAGTATTGGGTTGGGAGGTAAACTTAAATCCTCTTTTTAACAATATTGAACTTAGATGGACCAATTATTGGGTTTATTGAATTTCATGCCTCTTTTTAGACCGGATAACAAGACCTGTGGATAATCCGACCCATGGTCACTCCTAAGCTGAAGTACTCCCAATCTTAGACTACATAAATCAAGTGAAATTAATAAAGGCACTTTATGATGCATTCCATATTATTGTACTGAAGCTGAAGCTGAAGCCACTCAAAATAATATTTTTCATATAATTGTGATTTTTGTTCTATGATCTGTTCCATTACAAGATGAATGAAAACAAAACTTATACAACCAATCACTAAAACAATCTGCTTGCTTCCTAACTCCCTACAAAAAATGCTGCCCACTTTGACAGGAAAACCAAAGAATACCCAACAAATTGCAATGCACACTAAAATGAAAAAGATATATCCCTGCCCCTTATACTATGGAAACTTTACAAATATAAATGAAAATAATAATAATAATTTTACAGCATGGGCTAGGGATGTATTAGAAACAGCTATATTGGGAAAAAAATAATACAAAAAAGAATGGATTTACAACATACGAGTTTACGCATGAAATATTCATTTACTGTGTACCAGGCAGACATAAGAGAAGCATGCTCAAGATTCCTTAGCCTCAATCATGTAAAAATTGGAAGAATGGATTCTCGAGAAGTTCTGCTGCAGGTTTGACATCTGAGAAATCCTTTACTTGCATTGAATTAGAAAGATCATCCACTGAGAAGGGTATGCTGCATTAGGAGGCACGGGTCAGTTAGAGTTCACTATTTTCTACGATGTCCATATGGGTAAAAAAAAAAAGAAGCAGATATAAACTTTGACAGCAGAAGCATGTTAGCATAGTCGTGCTAAGTCAATTGATTTGAGACTAACAGAGTAAAAGCAACACTTTTTTTCTGCTTATTTCTCTTTCTCTCTCATGTATGTGCCTTTGGGGGCAATAGGAGTGGGAAAGAATTATTTCCTTAACTTTCACAAGCGTAGAATGTATTCTTCAGTAATTGGTTATCATTTTCCTTCCCCAAAGAATGTATTCTAGAATAAACTGTGTATATTTATTTTTTGATCAAAAGAATAAACTGTGTATAAAGATAAGAAATTTGCACCTGGAATAGTCATCCAATATAAAGGAATTGTTGAGAGCATTGTTAGAGTCCTCTGTCATTAGTACCCTCATGCTGGAAATAACCTGTACAAATATAAACATTTCCTAAGCATTAATCTAGAAAGAATACAAACTATTGGAATATCAAGTGGCGAGTACTTTTTTTGCCTTTAAAATATATCACTTACATCTGGAGATACACTTCGAGTATTGTAGCTGTCATCCCAGTATAGAGTACATATTCTATAGAGCTGCTGAACACTGAGAATCTGAGGGAACCAAGATTTCACATGTGAGAGAGTGAGTGCAGTGCAAAATTGACACCTTATCATGCTTTGTTGGGATTTGTTACAATTCTAGGGATTCCAACCTATGCAGGAAAGGTCACTCATAGATCATATGGATTTTTGTGTTTTTCCTCGCAATGTGGAGAGAGAGAGAGAGTACTTACAGGGCATAGATCATTGATAATCTCATCATAAGAAATCCGATACTTCTGATGTATAACCTGCGGGCAAGATGCATCAATTAAGCTAACAATAAACTGCCAGACTCACGTATTTTTTTCTTTGCTTGCTTAATATGAGGGTTGGACATCTTGTCCAATCTAACTTTATTCTCTTTTATACTACTTTTTTCATCAACATAATAACTGTTTATTATACAAAGAAACTTCCAGACGTACCCTAGCCCCTACATTTTCACACACCTAAATTTTTTTAAAGAGAGGAAACATTTGCCACTTTGTTTTCCCAAAACATAGCCGCTACAGTGAACATAACATAATATTGCTGCAGAAACGAAATGTTTGAAACCTGACTCCTCTATTGAAGAAAAAAAATATATTTATTAGCAAATGAATGGTCAAACCAATCCCAAAGGAGACAGGCTAGATCAGAGACACCAAGATCACGAATATCCTAAGTGTCCCACGATCATCGATCACACGACCCCAATTGTGATGGGTTTGCTACCTAGATAGTCCGAATTTTGGGCCCCAAATTATAACCTGTTTTGGTGATTTTTAAAGTTATATTTTGGTTTTTGTGATATGAATTTATTTCATAATACAAACATGCAACAGTTAATTTTTAGTATTGATAATCATTAACCAGTTTGTATAAGACTATTTCAAAAGTCATTTCTATGACGATTAGTGAGTGTTTGGGGGATACAATTTCAAAGTATCAAGGGGCCTTTGTGAGGGGGAGTTAGATTATGGATGTAGCATTTATTGCTAATGAGATTGTTGGAGAGTATAAGGAAAGGGGGAAGAAGGTTTTGTGTTGAAGATTGATTTTGAAAAAATATATGATCACATGGATTGAAATTTTTTGGATTTTGTGTTGGAAGAAAAGGGGTTTGGTGTGAGCAAATTTCTCGGTGATTATGAATGGGCTGAGCAGATTGATGGATAGGGCAGAGAGATGTCACTTGGTAGAAGGGTTCGTGATAGGAAGGGATAGGGTTACAATGTCACATTTATAATTTGCAGATGATACTATATTCTTCTCCTTAGAAGATGAGCACAAATTAAGAAATTTACAGATGATTGTTGACGTGTTTGGTGTAATCTTAGGACTTAAGGTTAATTTGGAGAAGAGCATTCTGATGGGAATCAATTCTACTCAGGAAAATGTGGATAGGATGGCAAGGGAAATAAGATGCATAGTGGGTGAGTGGCCATTGAAATACTTAGGACTTCCTTTAGATGGCAATCAATTGTCAAGAACCTTTTGGGACCCTGTGGTTGAGAAGGTTGGAAGGAGGTTAAATGGATGGAAGAAATTCTTTCTTTTTAAAAGGGGTAGATTAACTTTGATTCAGTCTATTTTGTCTAGTATTCCTATATATTTTGTCTCTGTTTAAAATGCCTGGAGTGGTGGCTAAGAAAATTGAAGGTTTGATAAGAAATTTCTTATGGGAAAGGGCAGGAGAGGGAAGAAAGGATCACTTGATTCGATGGGAGGTTATGAGGAGGCCAAAAGATAAAAAGGGGCTATCAATAGGAAATTTGGTGAAAAGAAATGTTGCTTTAGTTGGAAAATAGCTATGGAGGTTCCTTTTGGAGCAAGTATGAGTTGGCTAATGGCTAGGATGCAAATGGGGTTGAAAGATGTACTTTTCGGAACCCATGCAAGTTTCTCTCTTAGGGGTTACCTTACTTTACTCAAGGAATTAAGTTACTTGTGGGTGTTGAAAATAGTGCATTTTTGGGAGGATATTTGTGTGTGGGTCTTCTTTCTCTACTTTCTTTCTATGACTATATACGGTGTCGTATTATCAGTAAGATTAGTACCAATGAGGTTCTTCAAAAGAGGAGACCTAATTTTTGTGTTACGTGTAAAAGGGATTATGAGAGTGTGAATCATATTTTTTTGCATTATCCTTTGACACGAAATTTGTGGAATAAACTTTTTCGTCTTGAGAATTTTTGTTGGGTCGCCCCAAGAGATATAAATTCTATGTTTTGCTTAAATGATGTAGGGTTTGGGGAAAATAGAAAATGAAAGATTCTTTAGTACAATGTTTTCGTTGCTAATTTGTGGGTGATGTGGAAAGAAATGAATGCAAGGATTTTTTAGGACAAGTGTGAAGAAGTTGAGGGACAATGGGATAAAATTCATTTTTTTACTTCTTTTTGGACATCCACTGCTAAGGAATTTGAAAATATTCCTCTCTTTTGTATTTAGAACAAGTTGGAGAGCTCCATGTGGTTTGTAGCCATTGTGTGGATTCTTTGTCCACCATTGATTTGTTTCTTATAAAATTTTTCTTGTGATTATCAATAAAATGTTATATTTTATCGGGGAAAAAATATAATCATGTTAATAACCAAAATACAACACTTTATAAACAAAATTGCCAAAATATGGTACTTTTGAATTTATTTACCAAATTACGACACTTTTTAAAAGCGAATTCAATAATTCCGCTTTTGTTAAAAAGCGGATTCAACAATCCTCTTTTTAATGAAAAAAAAAATTGGACAATGGAAAAAGTGTGTTACTAAACACGTTTTTTAAGCTTTTTACACAAAATTGGACAAATTTTACTCAAATCACTACAGGTCTTTCACAGGTGTTTCTACTTTGGCTTCTCTCTCTCCCAAGTGAAAGAATACTCTCTTTCTCTACTTTGTTCTTCTCTCTTTTCAGTTCTTAAAGATGTCTACACCAGGCCCGAGATTCTATGAATGTGTTAGAAGTGCTTGGCATAGTGATAGATACCAATGCATGAGAGGCTCTCTCATTCAAGAGATTTTCAGGTGCTCAAATCTTTCTATACCCATATCAAAAAAATATTATATCAGCCCGAATGTTGGTGAGGCATGCCAAAGAATGATGGTTCCGATTACATTCTGCCCGAATGCTTGAAGGTTCAAGCTTCCGAGTTCGTAAGTTCGGCGAGGTCCACCATTGATGAAGTCCAACAAGTCATCTCCATCATCTCCAAATTTACCTATGTATTTGGTGTTTTTCGGCTCTCCAATTCCATTTCAGACTGTCTTGATCTCCTCGACCTCTCTGCCGATGAACCCAATTGGACTCTACTTCTCAGAATCCCAATGGTGGGTCTCTGTCATCTTTCTCTCTTTCTATTCTACCTTCCTACTTTTCTAGCTAAAGCAAGAGAACGATATTGAAGTGAATCACAAAGTAAAACAGAAAATCACCCACCTTTGATGTCAAATTTGACACAGCCAAGTTTCATTTCTCTCTAGTTTTTGAACCAATGACTAATCCAGTTTTGTGTGAAAAGCGTGTTTACCAAACACGCTTTTCCAACTGCCCCTTTTTTTTTTAAACCGGGATTGTTGAATCCGCTTTTTAACAAAAGCAGAGTTATTGAATACACTTTTAAAAAATGCTATAGTTTGGTCAATAAGTTCAAAAGTGCCGAATTTTGATAAATTTGTTTATAAATTGTTGTATTTTGGTTATTAACTCTATGTTGTTTTGTATTACACCTCTTTGGAACTCTTACTATGAAATAAATATTAGTTGACTGTGTGTGTATTAATGTATAAATAGAAATAATGACATAATATTGAAAATAACCTGGATAAGAGTTTGAAACCGAACCGCAACCCAAGACAGTGTACCAACTGAGTCTACCCTCATCGTACCACATATAGCATATGTTTAGCCACATTATAGCATATATGTTTAGCCACACCTTCCTACATGGATTATACAAGGTAGATTAATCCTGGCACTGCCAAGATTTGTTTTTATGATTACATTTTTCTGCACCACTAATAACAGATCTGTTGTTCTTTTCTTCCATTTTTCTTTTCTGCATCACAAAAAGACTTCAAGAATAACTAGTACTGAAACATAAAATACCATGAAGCATCATACCACAATCCTATGACATGATCAAGAATAAATTAACATCTAAAATAGTGACTATGATTCACAAGTTCAGTTATCGCAAAAGTTTCATTATATGATAAACCTTGGCAAATACATGGGTCTTGATATGCGTCTCAAATGAGACAAACAAGTTCCATATGTGATCTGTTGAGAAAACTTCCTTTGCAGAAAGACTATATTGAAGTGAAAAATTCCTTCGCACTTTTCATAAGTAATTAAGAAAAAACACATATGATTATAAATGATAGACAGAGAAAATTGGTCTTATTAGGAACAGGATATACTGGCAGGACGAAGCAATTTGCTACATACAAATATTATAAGGACTAGATGAGTGGCTCTAAAAGGCCAGGACTTTGCTGAATAACCATTGAGAAGGCATAAGCAACATGCCAACACTCCTTAGGTTTTCAAGCCTCTACTATTTAACAACTTCCCGCCCAGTTCTTACAACTATTTCCGCTAACATTCACTTTGAATTGATGTAAAATGTAACTTTAAAAGAGGTGAACATACCAAAAACCCAACAGCTTGTCTTATATGCCTAAGTTCATCCCAAGCTGAGCCTGCATACTGCAAATCATAGGAAATGTTCAGCATTAGAAGCAAGAAGTCATGTAGGCAACAACTTATAGTTATCGTAACAGAAAAAAAAGTGGCAAGGTAAAAATGTATATATTAATCAATGACATTTACTAGATAATAAATTCAACTGATGGAGAAACTCACCTCTTCTTTTGCTTGGCAGCACCATAGCTCTAACTCAGCCAACCCAGCTTTCACATATTCCCCATTGCTGAATGTACAGCATTCACGGCGTAGAAGAAGACTACAGGAGTACCACAAATTTGCATAAATCATTACAATTCTTAAGGAAGAGATGACAGCAAAATAATGAAACCAAAAAGGTGGACAAATTAAGTACCTGTTGAAGAGTTGTACATTAATATAAGAGAAAACCTGAGTAAATATCTTCTGAGCAAGAATGGGAGGCACCTGAAACCCAACAATTGTAAGCATTTCTTTGCATTAAAAAAAGAACCAAAATATCTTACAATGAGGTAACGTACAAAATTTCCTTTCAAAGTACTGAGAAGAGTGTTGAGACATTCAATAATTCCCTGCCAGTGATTTGTTGAAGTATCTTTACCAAAGGACCGCCCAGATCTTAGCACGCTCCCCTTGGAAGTTCTTGGTGCCTGAATTTTCAGCATATCAGATTATGTTTTGCAGAACTACATAATTTGCAAAATTATTATCTTGCATGCTTCTTCTTATGCATAACATCAGAAACACTTTCCCTCCTAGACTCAACAGTTCCTTTCCTTGAAACACATTTAAACAATCAGGAAAAGTCAAACACAAACAGTTGAGAAATGATACACAAAATACTCAACATCTTCAGCCACACAATTTTGATTTTGAAATGCCAATTGTTGAAACTGAATCAAGCAACAACAGATGGACTACACAAATAATTCTGAGTTTTCAGCCCCAACTTTCTAACAAAGAAGCAATAAACTAGAAAACGATATTGATAAATGACCTGTATTAAACACATACAAAAGAAAAACCTGACATTAGATAGTCTGGGCAAACATCCCATGCACAGTTACCATTTAGATGCAGAATGCTACTTGGATATAACTGTGATCCAAACTTATAGGCATCCAACTCCCACCACCAAGTTACAAATACTACTTTAAACCTCATTACTGATGTGTTCAACAGACAATATTTAGAAAAAAAACAAAACAAAGCTACAGTGAAGTCGTGTTGCAATCTTCTAGGCATGCCACACCTCGCCTAAAAAAGGAGCCAGGCCCTCACTTATAAATAGAGACCACTGTTTGAAGGAGACACCTCCATACCCTAAGATATGTTTGCTGCTCCAGAACCAAAACCTTCCAAACCAAATAGTTTAGTAGCTTAAATAGTCATTTCAAAGCTCATCTAGCATGCCCCTATTCAACACAATTTTGGTTAAGTACTCGTCGAAACAACGAAGCAACTTTGCAGTGTGGCTGCACATCATATGCTGTAAAAGATCTAACTGAGCTTTCTTTTGGAGAAGGTGGCAAGCCTTATCAATTCTAACAAATTCAACACAAGAAGCTAACGCTACCTTTCAAGAATTTCAGGCATTTAATTCTCAGCAATTCCAGCAACTATATTTCTAAATGCAGTCAATTCCAACCCTTTTCTGTCTTCAAAGCCCTCAACCTTCCATCTACCTTGTCAAACCCTAAACTTACAAACTTTCCATAAGCTTAGCCCACCATAAATCCTATTGTATGCAACACAATCACAATTTTTCAACCTATTGTCCTGAATCATTGCAGCAAGCATGCCACATTCAACTGTGTTCATACTTTCCTGTCAACCACTACATATAATTCCCTGCTCAAAAACCAAGCTAAAAGGTATCTTGTATATCTATATACTGCCAAAGTGCATGAGCCATCAATATTTTATCCAAGCTTTAAACTTAAATAATGAGTTTCATTATGTCCGTAAATGGGGCTTCCTTACTTAAGTCTAGTTTTCTTATAATTGTGTAAATTTCAGTCTTGTTAGAAGTCTTTTTGTTATGAACGAAGGCCACAATTAAATAAACGGAACGAAATAGAAAAATACATAACACAAATTAACATGGATCGGCTCGAAAGCCTACATTCATGGGCAAATTCAATAGTAAAGGTTTACTATCAACATTGGGATATTACATAAAATTCTCTAACCTAGAGAATAGAACCAAACACGGATGCCCAACACTGGGGGCCACAATCCCCTAAAGTCCGGGGTGCCAAAACCCCCAAAAGAAAGTGAGTGGTTTTTAATCTATTTATAGACTCAAAATGCTTTGTCTCTTAATACAATAGAATTTTTAATTGGTATTTTCCTTGAAATGAAATTCCAAGACATCCACCTTTCCAATTCCTTATGGTGAACAAATTTCAAACCAGTTTTCTACTTAGAACTGGAATGCAAGACACCCACAACCATAGTTATCAAAATCGTACGATTCGCGATTCATATCTTACATGAGAATCGTTTTAAAGTTGAATCACACCTAAATCTTACAATTCATATGATCCGATTCGTATCGCACAATTCAATCACTTTTTTTTTAAAACCGAATTTTTTGGCAAAATAGACATCATTTTGTCCGCTAAATAATAAAACGACGTCGTTTTATTTTCAGAGGAACCCACACCCTAATAAAAATTCAATCTCTTTGCTCGTTCTCTCTCTGACGTCATCTAAAACTCGTCTTGCGTTGTCTAAAATTAAAGGTCACGACTAACACTCTTGCATCATCGACTGATCTTTACTCTCAATTCTTTCACAGGAAATTTTTTTAGATTCTAATTTTTTGTTTCAAAATATTGGCCTGTATAGTTTATCCCAATCAATTTGCTTATTTGTTCTTTTTTCATTCATGTTTACAACCTAATCTATACTGGGTGTCACTATTTTGATTCTTGAATAGCCATGGTTCTTTAATGAATGTTTTTTTTTTAAGTTGTTGAATTTAAAAATGGTAAAACAAAAGATAAAAATGAAGTAAAAGGCTAGTGTCTTTCCATTTAGATGAAGAGATTATGTCAATTGATTATTTTTAGAATGCAATAATGTTCAATATTCAATATTTTGTCTATTTTAAATATATAATATTATTTTTTATTTTTGTTCAAATTTTGTGTCGAATCTTATGATTCATGATTTGATACGATTCACAATTCTCAAATTTAAGATTTCGATTCACGATACGAATTGAAATTTAACAACTATGCCCACAACACTTTGCCGGAGACATCTATCTTAAGCCTACTTGCCCTATGGCAATCAGTCTCCCTGATAATATGCTCGATTACAACTTATGCCCAAGTAGTGGCCAAAGTTCAAAGCAATGCACCAATAGTCCTTATTGAGTCAAGTTCAAGCCCTCAAAACTATTATAAATGTTGCAAAGTACAGCCTGCCTTAATAACTCTCAAATGAAATTAAGAAGTACATGGATTTTGAGAGTGACTTGAGGAATCATATAAAAAACCAAACTAGGAGATTAACTCTGTATTTTAGATTTGCAGGAAGCCTAAAGTAACACAAACAGTCATACTTTCTACCATAAGATAGTTACCCTCAAGTAGTTCCTTAAGATCCTTGCCTCTGATACTGGCTATTTAAAACCTGTTTGTTTAAACCATAACAAACGTGGAGAATGGCTGTTAGAGGCTTGTCTCTGCAGGTAAACCACTGAGTTGTTCTACTCTCTGTAATCTGGGAAGGCCTTGCATTAGTATCCATGACAAAGCCAAGAAACTCTTAACTCAACCACACCCGTGCACCCACTGCCCCTCCGCCGACCCCCCCCAAAAAAAAAACAAACACCACACTATATATAAACTCTCTCTCTCTCTCTCTCTCTATATATATATATATATATATATATATATATATATAGCTGAAGAAAATTAGACTTCCAGCAAGCAATATCAATCATCCAAGAGCCATCCCAAAAAAAGAGTAAAAATTTAATACACAGGCCAAACAATTTGAGAATGGTCGTGGGGGAAGGAAAACAAGGATTTGCAAAGTGCAACCAGAAATGCAACCTACCTGGATACATAAGGCAAGCAATGATCCCAACTCCTTCTTCAGGTTGTCTCGAATAATTCCATAGATTTTCTCGACATATGCTGTGAGCTGCTGCTTGAAAAGCAAAGCTGGATATTTGGCTTCAACTTGGCGTACTACCTCAAGCGCTGCCGAAGCTGCAGCAAGGTTGACAGAAGATGGGGACGAGCGAAATCCCTGGACATAACAATGCAAATCAAATCACATAGGATGAGCATACTTTGCACCACTTTGACATTGAAGGTATACAAAGAAATATGAAACATAATCAAAGAGTTCAAAAACCATTGTCATCCTCCCAAAGAGGGATGTAACAGGTGGTGGTTTCCGAAGTGGAGTTGCACCAGCTGCACCAGAAGCTTTTAAACTTCTTTGGAGCAAGAACAATAATGTCGATGTATTTGACAGCCAATAAGCCATATGATCATGGTTGTCTTGATTCTGCAAATAGGTAAAGCTTTATTAATCTTCAGTTCTTCACAATTACTCACATTGTACACTTGCACTTGCTGAACTCAAAATTATGGCACACACAATACAAGAGTTTCTCAAGCAGGATCGTGAAGAGAACCCCAATAATCTGCAAACTCATTATAATATATCTACATTGCACAAAATTGAAGGAATGCATCAGTCTAGCTGAACATCAATGGGGTTGTATTGTCGAGTTGTGAGCCCTTTCCAAGGACAATAATTTAAGTCTGTTCTCGTTCATGATGATGTTGATATGGTTGCCTTTTGAATTGACACAGATTGTGGGGAAAAGCAAAAAACGAGATTCACAAAGAAATTTTAACATGTTTCTTTTACATTGATGTATTACTTTGAGCCAGTATAGAAGTACATGGTATCCTCCTTCAGGCCAACTTGAACTCAACCAGAAAACTGTGGGAGAATGAGCAGCATTTAGGATGAGAATGCCAATTTTGGATGGGCCGAGCTCGAGCTTGGAGGACTACTCAGACTTGTGCCCAGATCAACCCAACCCAATTGACACCCCTGCCCTTTAGAAATATTAAGATTGTGACATTTAAGTAATAAGAGGACAGAACTAATGTGCCAAGTCTAGGCATCACTAAACTACAGAGCGTACTTATGTCAAAAATTGAGGATCAAGTGCAACGCTAGAAGAATATCCAAGCAACTTAGTTTCCAGACCAAAAAACCATCATCTCATCACATCACATCACATCACATGGAACCCATTTCAAACACCCACATAGTTGAGAGCAGAACCATGCAAAATGAAAATTAAGATAAATTCCATAGTCCAGAAATCAAAGTAGACACTACATATAAGACTCACTAAGAGGCTCAAACACTTCTAAGAATAAACCCTGACATAGTTAAATAAGTATCAGCTACCGACAACTTATCAGATACTCCAGAAGATGTCCCATACATCTTGAAAATGTCTTTGATTCAATAACTTCCCAATTTCAGACTAAAAGCCAACACCTTTGGGTATTTGCAAACACGTGAGAAACTTATTTAAATGTTAGCAGTAAGCCTATGATTTACTTTAGCGTGGAATATATGAGAAACTTGTATACATGTGATAAGTCATATTAATAGTTAGGATATGGATTTCATTTAGCATGCAAAAATTTTGTTTATGAGAAATCAAGGTTAAGAAAAATGCTACATGGATGTGATTCGCAACCACTGAACCACATGAGAATAGCTTCAAATAAATGTGATATTACTACCTCAATTGCTGAACCAATCATCTGAATCAGTCGATCAAATACACTAGTTCTTTCAGCTTCAAAAGATTTCCAGTGGAGAAGACATTTGTAAATGGTAAATGCAGCAACAGGCTTGCCTTGACTAAAACCCTCTTTCATATTCATAACGCACTCAATCAATGCATCAACATCCTCCTGCAGCAAAGTTGCAGACCAAGGGTCAACCAAGAATTCACAGTGAAAAGAAACGATAATAGATGAAGCAGAACACGTACATGCGGACGATCAACCGGGGGTCTCCTAAACCTGCTATCTGATTCAGTCCCAAAATTCTTAGCAGGCGTGACACTTTGTAGTTCCTGCAGAAATAAATTATTTCCCAATCACAGAAGCAAAAATTAGCATTGATAACACAACTCCAAATAAAAGTAGTTAGAAGATTGAAAAAGTACACTTACATTGGCTCTGGTCTCTTCAGTCACATGATGGCCATTTTCCAAAATCTAAATTTAAGTTAAATCACAAAATCAACTGATATTTCAGAGAGAAAAAGATGGTGGAGGGAAGAAATTGAGATATACAGTAATTTTATGGAATAGATGTTGACCTTAGTTGCTGAGGTCGGTGGATGTCCTAATGATTGCTTCACAGGTGTTAACAAGGCTTGCTGTCGAAGAACTTGGTTCTCAGATTCCATGTCAGAAATTTTTTCTTCAAGGCTGTAATGATGGAAAAACATTAACTACTTGATAACATTCCTAAGGTGAGAACAGAAATAACATTACCATCACATATTTTGTAATCATCTCACAATAAAGTCTACGTCAACATACTATTGAGTTTGTGATAAAAACTAATTTGACTTTGGCACCACCTCTGCATAGCAGTCTTCAGCTGAATTATCTTGGACTCTGCCTCCATAGCCTGCTTTAACCTCTCCTCACTAAGCTTGTTTGTCTCTTCATATCTTTTCTCTGTTTCATCAATTTTCTTTTCTAGAGAGTTAACTAAGGCCTGCAATTTTTTACAGGAAAACAATGCATTAGCCTACAGAAGCACCCTAGTGTTTTTCCCACATCCAAGAAAAACATGTTGAAAAACCTTTAATCAGCAGATTAACACAGAGTCCTCCACAAAAATTAGATCCTTGAATTTCAGCATCCTTACCTTCAGTTTCTCATTTTCAGAAGTAAGCTTATCCATCATTGCATGGTCGACGACTGGGACCTCCTGTATGACAGGGACTTGTTCTGCTGCCTTTTTGGAAGCCTCACATTCCTTCATGAGCATTTCTTTTGTTTCTTTGAATTGGAGTTGCATCTCTTGCAAAGCAGATTGTAGTTTTGAATTTTCTTGTGTTTTTGATTCTTCCAAGTCAGCCTACGAAGCAGTTCAGGAAATCCAAAAACAGGTCAGTCTACATAGAGAGTATGTGGATGTATGAGCTAAGGAAAAGAAAACATCCTGAGAACAACATACATAATAAAAAATGAAAAATTAAGTTTTTACTATCTTCATATTGAAATTGCAACCAGCGTTGATAAATCTTCTAGAACAATCTGTTGCACAATTGGTATTAAAGGGGTGCTCCTACTTTTATGGGAGTGAATCTCACATGAGCTGATAATTCTCCAAGATACAGATAAGTAGATAATATTTCTCCTGTTGTAGTATAAGAAAGAGTTGAGCAAATGTTAACTCCACTTGTTCACAAAATGACTAAAACACTATCATCGCCATCTTGAAGATCAAAAGACATCTAATTTCCATCTGACGCTTCTGTGTCTAACTTTTCTGTGGGCTACAACAAAGCGTAAGCAAATGCAATCATAAGTATTCCTTCAATTGTAATCATAAATATCTCCCCAGGATATATTAGCCAAAAAAATAGAAATATATGAAAAGATCGAGGAGTACATGAGGATGGCTCATGGTGGATATGGATTTGGAGACAAATTATGTTGGGAAGTTTGGGGAAGTTTGTCATTATACACTTGTTAAATTAAGAGAAAGAAATATTATAAATTTTAAACATAAATAGCGTTTTTGAAAGGAGGGGTTAGGGTCCCAGTTACAAGACTAGAAAATTAAGGAAACATAGACAAACAACGTTAGAGAAAGAAATATTAGAAATTATAAACATAAATAGCGTTTTTGAAAAGAGGGTTTAGGGTCCCAGTTACAAGACTAGAAAATGTAGAAAAATAATGTCTGAAAGTTATAAAATCAAAATCATAAAGGGAGCTTACATTTTGAATACTATAGTAACTATTTGGAATTTTAGAATGCAAGTTCCTCCATGGAATTAAGGTATCCAAAATAAAAATGTGTTCAAAAATGAAAACTAGAAAATCTTTAAGAATCGATAGTATACTTAATGAAGTTTGGAGTGTTTGGGGGATGTCCAAGTATCTTGGTTAATTAACTGGATTACAATGATTACGAATATCTCTAATGAATGAAGAAAGAGAATTCTAGTACTATACATAATTACACAAAATTATCGAGGCATTAGATAGATAATTTTCCTCATCTAAATGCACAGCTCTCTTAATTCTACAAACTGAAGCATGCAGACGACTAATTTGCACCAAAAAAAGATGCAAAGCAGCCTATATATCCTTAATGGTGCAGGAAGAACATCTTTGATTACAGATCAAATAGCAAGTTATTAATGTTAATAGGAGTATTCATGTACTTATGGGTCTTTTTGGATAGAGCTTTTTGACCACTAATAGAATCACTTCATCCTCCAGAATGACCCCTTCTACCTCCAGTCTAGATAGAGGTTTCCCCTCCATATGCCTGAAATTGTCTTTTTCTTCTTGTTGAATAATCATGAATCCAGAGTACAACAAGATCGAGGTCAGTCGAACAACATATATTGGCACCCCCAACAGTTTGCAAAGATACAGCAAACTAAGTCTAAAAAGGATTACTCTCTTAGTGTATATATTTGTTGATGACATAGTATTGAGTGATAAAACTAAAATACGAATTAACAATAAATTATAAGTTTGGAAAGAAGCTTTAGAACAAAAAAATTGAGATAAAGAGAACTCAACTGAGACTATGGAATTTGACTTTAATAAAGTAACAATCTCAATTGGGGTAGAAAAGATCGAAGATCAAGAGATACTAAAGAGTGAATTCTTAAGCATGATGGTAGAGAATTGCATCTGGTGTATTGTGTGATTAGTGTATATGTCTTAAACTGAAAAGCATATTCTATAAAACAGTCATAAAACCAATCATATTTAGGCAACGAAGATGAATGTGTTGTAAAACTAGAAAGCATAGAACTAAGAACGAGTAAATTCATGAAAAAGTAGTAGTGGTACAAATATGAGATAAATTAAGAGAAAATAGTTAAGGTCGTTTGGATGTATTTATAGAAGACAAAATTTAACTTTAAATGTGATGGTAAAAAGAGATATGCTAACTTGTGTTTTGATAGAAAATATAACTGTTAATAAAGCCCAGTAATAAATACCATTCATATAGCCAAACCCAGATAATTGGAACAAGACTTTGTTGAGTTGTTTAGTATTTTTCTGTACCACTACAAAATTGTTAGTATCTAAATGAGCACATAGCGGCATTGCATCAACCATGTGGCACACTACAACCAACCTACTTGCCTATACCTTAAAAGATAAATGCAAAAATTGGTTGAACAGAAAGGACTCATCAGATAAACTTACTCTCATGCGTTTCTCCAGCTGTAATCGCCAAGTCAGTTCTTCAACTTGTTTCTCCAATTTATTTTTGGCAGCTTGCAGAGCACCGGTTTCCCTAGAAGCCTGCATTTATAGAGAGCAAAAACAAAAAATCTTACCTTCTCCAGAAAATAGGCAGAAATATACATTATTTTGTACAATTACTGTCAAATGTCAGGTTTATACCCAATGTGCCCCTCTTAGACCCATAGTAATGGGAATAAGGTGGGTGTCATTTTTTTTCAGAAAATAAGCATATTTAACAAAATAAATACCAACAAGAAGACAAGCAACAAAAGGAGGAGGCAATGAATCTATAATTATGGCACGTCAACCAGTTTCAAGTCAACCTTCTGTTGATTTTATAGTACAGGCCAAAATTAAATAACAGACCTTTTATGCTTCAAAGAATTTCCACATTGGCCATAAAACAAGTATAGAAGTATCTTAAGGTGGAAAGAAATTCAGTTTCCTTGAAGAAAAGAGAAAGCGTGCCAAAATAAATTGAACAGTTAAAGAGGGACTTCAGTTGCTTAATTCATTGTTTAATTCTTAGATCTCCGTTTTTTCAAACATAGTCCTGTTTGTAGGTCCACATGTAAACATGCATTGATGCAAGCCAGTTTGACAGTTTTGATATTTTACGCATCTTGGGAGACCAACTATATAGTTTTTGTAAATGACCATGGTGCCCATCTTTAGCATATGTGTTGTTTATTACAAGGTCCTCTTGGTAAAACATGAATGTCCAAATCATCAATATTAAAGCAAGCAAGATTTTAAAATACAGCGACATTTTTTTCTTTCCATAAGGCATTGCGTGTTTTATTCTTTAGGGGGAGGGGAAGTGAAAAAGAAGAGGTCACCATCTTAAGCTTCCGCAGTTCTTTACGAGCAACTCTTCCCCTCCAGGCACATTGCGTAGTAATTGCAGCTTTCTTTATCTCCATGTAGTGCAAGCGAGATAAGAATTTGCGGCTGTGACTCTGGATAAAGAATTAAAACCATTTCAAATTTCAGCACACCAAATAACGAGAAGTTCAGCAAAACAAAGGTTTGACTGCCAAGACATAATTTTACCTGTATAATAATTGCAGCCCTTGTCTGCATTCTGAAGCGAAGTTCATTACGTGCAGCCATCCCGCGCATACCTGTCTGAATGCAGACAGCAGAGGAGCACAATTCTTTGTAAGCTTTCCTAGCCAGATGCATCCGCAAATCTCTTTGAATCCTCAGACAAGAAGCCTCTCTCCGCATGCCCTCATAAACTTGCCGAGCAAGTTGTCCTGCGATAAGCATAGAGGAAACAACCAAGGAGTTACACATGGTTTGCACCAGGTCAGCAGATACAACAACACACTGCATACACAATTCAAGTACCTCTGCACACAGATTGAAGTTGCATGGCTGACAACCGCAACAAGACAAAACTTTTTTGAGCCATGTAAGAACGGATTTTCCTCTGAATAATGCTAGCAGATCTTCCTAAGATCTCAGTCCTGCGAGCATCTAGTTCCGCCATCTGACCAGCCCTTAGGAACACCTTTGTTTTACCAATCTGCAAAAACAAAACAGTCAGTACAATTCGACTCAGCTCAACTACTCAACTCAACAAAGCTTTTATGCCAACTATTTGGGGCCGGTTATAGGCATCCTCATTCTTTATTGTGCTCTATCAAGGTCCACAAACCAATCAGTACAAATGGCTTTGCAAAACCATGGTACAACTACATGTATGTGATTATCTCAAAAGGCATTATACCAAATACGACGACATGTGGGGTCTGGCACTAGTTTGTCTTACTATCTCCTGAGCCCCAACACCACAAGAATTTAGAGAGAGAGAGAGAGAAGTTGAAAGGCTGTTTTCAATCTTATCAATTTTTTCAGCTTCAAGACATCAAAATGCTCGACCTACAAACAAGTGGATAGTTTTCCCTTTTTCCTCTTTTCCAGAAAGTACCTATGTTTTCTAGTATGATTGATAAGAAAAATGCCAAAAGAATTCTTTCACAAGGAAAATGAAATTAATAATTACAAATTACCATATTTCTTTGAATGAGGCTAGAAGACCATACAGCCCAACACTAAAAAAAAGTCGCATATATGGCCATCATAGTGTGAAATGAAAACAATTGTCTGTCTAGTCTGTCAAACCCTTGACAAGGTCAAGACTTGAGGTTTTGAAACTAAAGCAACTCTCCAACAAGCCCAAGAGGGATGAAGAAGGAGATGGGGAGAAAGAATAAGAAAATGCTTCCAAAAATGGAAAGAAAGAACGTGGCCTTGTCAATCAGCAAATAGATGAAGACATGAATCCAACCGTGTATGCGGGAGTAAGTCGGAGGGTCAAAAAGGTGCTAGTACGACACAAGAAGGTGGAAGAAAGATTGAAGAGAGTTGAAGCTGCAGATCTGCATATTTGAATGCAACAAGTTCTACTTTCAAATATTTTGAGGGGGTGTCAATAAAAGCTAAAATCCTTTAAAAAGCAGGTAAACAAAAAGACAAATGGCAGAACTGCATAAGCAGTTCCCCCTATACCTGATAGCCTTGAAGTCCGACCTTCTCCAGAAGCCTCTTGCAAGCAGTGACCTCATCCGCACTACCAGAAATTCAATTATGAGAACAAAGTTGGGATTATTAATATTTTGGTAGCAATTTTAGACTAACAAAGAAGAATCGACCTACCTGCCATCCAAAATTTCAGGTGCAAGCATGCCAAACCTATCTACAAATTCATAAAAGGGTCTTCTGGTAGGATATCCAGCACAACTTATCCTGATTGCCTCCATGACTCCCTGTAAGCCAACAAAGGAAATGCACACACTCAAACTAAATGCAGGCAGCTTCATTTCTGATTCCAACATACAAAAAAGCAACAAAAGAATGTACTCCCTTACCCCACACCGTAGTTGTTGTAGAACATTATAGTTCTCAAAGATAGCTGGTTTTAGAAAATTGTTGGGCTTTACACAGCGAATATAATGAGGCTCGGTCGCACTCAGAGTTTCAAGCAATGCTTGCAATTGTTGCTGTGAAAAGTACACAAAGAAACTTTACAGCTCAAGACAATGTCCAAAAGAAGCAAATAATGAACATACATGTGCCGTGACAGAGAGAGAGAGCACCTATTATACCTTAAACCGTGACCCTATTGAAGAGAACTTAGATTGTTTGGAGGACTCCTCACTTGAAGGGGGAAACAAACCCGACGCAAATGAACATTTGGAATCACTCAGGAGTGCTTGATGTTCAGCAATAACATAATCTTTGTTTTTGTCTAGAAACAATTCAGTTTGATAAGTGACCTGAAATATGAAAAAAATCAATAGCTCATGCATGTCAATGAAGGAAGACATTACTATTGTTTCTGGCTGATTTTACTATCAAAACTGAATGTATCTTCACATAGAGAATATAACAGGCTTACATCACCAGCATAATGACAAATGGTGAAGTCAGAACGAGACAGTTTTGGCTTGCTGAATCGTTTATGGTTTTTGAATGTTTGGTACAGCTTTTGGGCAAATGTTTCGTGTGTTGATCTTGGAAACATGCTACAGAACATGTTGCAGGTATGTCAACACCAGAACCGTCAAATATAAATTTAAATAAAAGTAAATGAACTGAAGCTTTGTCAATCACTAGTCCATTAGAAGCAAAGGAAAAATTATGGTGGTAAAGATTCACAGTACTATACTTACCAAGCTTCGTCCAGAAGAGCTATGATACCGCCCGGTTTCTAAGATTCACAAAAAGACATGTTAGAAAGACAAGGCATACATAAGAGATGAACCACATCGAATTTTATTTGCCCTGATAACATGATGTTTCAAATGTGTTCCCCCTGCCCCAAACAGCAAAAAAAATACAATAAAGACTAAGAAAAGGGAGATCAACAGAAAGCACGAAAGCAGCCACAGAAAATTGTTATGCAGGCTCTCTACTTGAAAGTCATCATTCCAACTGATGAAAGTTTCTTTATGAATTAAAGACGAAAAAGTAAAACGAGGAAGATTGAGTCTGATTGGAAATTGTGTGAAAGCAAAAAATGGCAGCACCCATAACAAGACTTAACCCAAATTCAAAACTGGTTGCAGGATCAGCATTAAATGCATCAATAGGATAAGAACAACCAAATTTCAAAAATAAAACTTGATTACACAGGAAATGAGAGCAATATTTTATGCAAGAAAATGTTCCCCTAGTGACAAATTGAAACCCATCTTTTAACCCTCCAAAAAGTCCACACAAATCATCATTCTGCATACAACCATAACAAAATGATTGAAAGACCGATCAGAGTATAATTGGCTCAAATGAAGTCCATTTTCACTTCATATATTTGCATTAATAGTTCCCATGTTGCCTTACAATCAACTGAAACTACTATTGACTCAATCAAAATGCCTAACCATGTGGTTAGTATTGCCCATTTACCTATTCTTATATTGCATTTGTTGAGTGACCATACTTAAGTTTCAGACAACATAACTAATTTTTATTCAATTATTCATATAAGTGAAGTTCTTGGCAAGATTTCACTAGTCTAGGTCTAGGTAAAATAAGCCCACCTATGTCCAGCTGTGCTTCACTTAACCAGACAGCATACCTCCTCCTAAGTTTTCATTTATTTGTCTTCAGATGAAAAATTTAGGCAATCAGCCACAGGCAGTGCAGAAAAGGTGTAAATAAGCAACCTCTACACATAACTGGGCAATGAGATTCATGAGAAAAGGTCTACATTGCAGTCAGTAACATGAACAGAAATTGCATTGAAAGTTTTCCAAGCCATATATGTGCTTGCATATTATGCTTCCCTTGAAGTCGAACCAAATTCGTCAAGATTCAATTTTTCTGTCGTCAAGATCAGGATAGATCAGTAGTTCAACAAAGGAAAACTAAAAGGCCATATTTTCTTGCTTACGCATCTTATCCCATATTATGATCTTTGACACAAAGTCAGGGGCACAAAAAAGGCGTCATGCAGGTTGTGTGGTGACTCATTGTGGCTCTGGTGCTCCTTGTGGGGTTCCCAAAGGTGGTAACAGGCCTCATAGCGGTCCAAGGTTAGTGGCAAAGATACATTGACTATTGGGAATTGATGGGAGGATCTGCTAAAGGGATTCCCCCAGCCGACAATCATGGGTCTGCTATATGGCAATTGGGTTAGACATAGGAGGTTTACTAACCCAAGAGCCACTCAAGGCAAAATTGTTAATCTCAACTTCACCATCATTAACTTTAATCTATGGCTGCATTTTTTTTTTTCACCAAGACATATCAACAAAATCTATGGTCACATCGTCACTTATAAGTTATAAGTCACCTTAAGTTTCTCTCAATTTGTGTTCAACTTGGGTCACCCTGCCAATGCAACTACTATAAGAGTAGAACTTTGAATTGGTAACACAAATTTTTTTATTTTATTTCAAGTGGTGGAATAGAAGGATACCATTGGTTTTTGATCATTCACTTCAATGAAAATACAAATACATTTCTTTTCTATGGGTAGGAATATGTAAAATAAGGTTTATTGTTTGGTGCAGTGGTAACATGGTTAGGCTAACAAGTCCACCCGTCCCAGCACCCTCTACTAGGGGGACCAAACCAGCTAATGATAATTTAGAAACATGCAAATTCAGGAAAGGACCTAGTTCAAATATACATACTGACAGTATAGCCGTAATATGGACCAGGGTAGCAGTTAAATATGCATTAACATACAAATTATGCCAAAAATATGCAGACAGTAACAACTGAAGATACCGGTATTAAGGGTTAAAAAAGGTAATTTCAGACATCAAGAGGGCACAAACCTTTTCAATGAGATCTAAAACATCTTGATTATCAATGAATTCTATATAGCTCCAATTAATTTCTTCTTTTGTATATTCTTCTTGCTCCATTTTGAAAACGTGCTGTCAATCAACATTAGTTATCATAAAACTGAACCATATAGATATATTATAAAAATTGCAAGGATGATGAACAGAAAACTGCCTTCCACAAACCTGATTGAAGTGCTGCTGCAGTTTCTCATTTGTCAGATTTATGCAAAATTGCTCAAAGCTGCACATATCAGCAAGTGTTAAGAATCAGTTACATTATTTAACAAGCAGGTCTCTGCAAGCAGTCATCCCCATTGTAAACAACATTTTAGATAAAACCAAAGAACTGTTCAAGTTCCGGCACTAGTGCCACACAGGTCCACAGCAACTTGTATCTAGGCCATCATGCCAAGAGAGTAGCATGCTAAAATAAGCAGCAGATGGCCCTTCAAGTCTTCAACCTCACAAAAATGGAGAGAATGATAATCCAAGTATTTTCCATCTGAAGCACATGGTTCAATTACAATTATCACAAATTAGACACAGATAAACTCCAGTTCATGCCAATCAATAGGTACAACAATGGTTGGCATTGAACAACATTAAACTGGACAACAAATTTCCAGCATAGGTATTTATTTCCCAAGTTCTTCACATCAATATAATATTAAACTCCCAGTAACCTTCCTTGCAGAGTTTGCATTTACAGAAGAAAAAATAGTATTGGAAGCACATGGATCTTTCATAAGGTCAAATCTTCCAGATCTTAAAATTCAACCATAACTCCAATAAAGAGAACCTGGTCCATACTCCACAAATCATTTGAGAAATCAAAGCCACAAGCCTATCAATTTTTACATCTGTTTGCAATGAATGTGCTACATCTTTCAGATCTTGAAATTTATGGATGAGGAGAACCCAGCCCACAAGACACTGACAGCCACTGCCTTTAAATTTCCTCTCTTTGCGGCACTAGATGCTTTGACACCAAAATACTGTGAAACATAAAAAAAATGTCTGGGAAGATGCAGGAATAGACCCTCCACTGGTCTATAATATATAACTGCAATTTACCGGTCATGGACAAACGCCAAGCAGACACGAGAATCATAATGTAAGCATCCAAATTTCCACAGAGCCAGCAGACCCAGAGCTCAGATTAAGACAAGAAAGTACAGGCCATTTATTTAGCAAATTGCACACAGAGATGGACCCAAAATAGTAAACAACAGTATCTCTGACATACAAGATTGGAGATAGATTAACCCAAAACACAAACTAGGATACGGGACAGTTATTACTTATCAGTAGGCACAATTCCTACACATCTATAATGCTTTAAGACTTGAGAAAACAATCTTTTACACAATTATCTCTGAGAAATCAGGTCTATCAACAATAAAACAACAGGCGTACCGGCTAAGCACCTGTTTGTCTTGAAACTCTCAAATCCATATATATCCAGCACCCCAATTAAGCGTTTTGAGTCGGTGTCTTGACCAATTGAACTATTGATTTTATCCACGAGCCTGCAGATATAAATACACAAGCATCAGCAAAAACCATATTTTGATCTTTCAAAAAATTTGGGGGTACAAAACAGAAAATAGTACCAACCAAGGTCAAGTAGTCAGCAATGCACAATCCCTCAAAGCATTGAAAGTGAGGCTTACCAGTCAAACAACCTCGAGTACACAATTTTTGCCAAAGCATCTCTACTGACAGCTGCAGCTTCTGGATCAAGCCATTTGGTAATGGTTTCATCACGAGTTACAATTACACGTTTGCAGAGGGAATCCTCTAAAGCCTTTATGTCACACCTGAACAACACTCAACAATTTTAAAAGTTGCATTTTTTCTCTCATAATAGCAATTTAAGGACAGACATTTGAAAATAGTATGTCTTTTTAGTGTGTGGATGGGTGGATGATATTGATCATTTACATGAACAGTTCTGCAGCAGTTCTTAGATGAAACCAAGATTTTTCATCTTTGGGCACGGATGAGTCAATTTCCTTTCCCTTTGCAAATTCAATGTTTCCAAGATGCAGGATTGCAGCCACAACTCGAAAGATCGCATCCTAATTAGGGAACAAAAATTAACAGGAAGCATCACAGGAGAGACTATAATCTTTGAAGAATTTCTTTTCGCATATCAAACAATTCCAAAAATACCTGTTCCTCAGTGCTTATTCCAACAACTTCCATTGCCCTCCTTGTTGCGACATATTCTTTTGAATCATCCATGCTATCTAACTCATAGCAATTTGATTGATTTAAATAATGAAACGTTCTTGGATTTCCCAATTTGTACCTTTGAAGATCCTGATGGAATACAATAATATAAGATTCATATGAAATGAAAACAACAGACACATTGAACTTTAAGTCCACATTGATGAATTATTTCTCAACATGAACTAACAAGAAGTCAATCAGCAATTGTAGTGGTAATGCAGGCATGCCAACCTGATGGTGATGCAAAACACCCAATGAGTCAGGTATTATAACTGATACCCACTTTTTACGGTTTAGTACTACAGACAAGGTTAGAAACCCAAACCTTACTCCTCCCAAGAAAAAAACACAAAAAATGTTACAATTCACAAAACAAACATAAGGGCACCAAAAATAGAACTATTGATGCAGCCCAAAAGAAGATCCATTCCCAAGCCCATATGGGGCCATCCATATTTATTGATTCATGAAATTGATTTTCTATGTTTGAATTGAAGTTATCAATTTGTACATACAATTTTACATTTGGTATAACATCAGAAGTTAAGGGCATTCCATAGTCTCAAGATGCTAGGGATGGATGCTATATTCAGAGATGTACTTTAGTAGTGCTGTAGTGGTACAAGGATGATTTTCTTGCCATCTTACTAGGTTGTCATATGTCGGCTGTTCTTGGTTTCAATGGATCTTACAAGTCAATTTTCTAATTCTGGAGCCCTAACTTGGACGAAGACGTTTGGTGCCTATACATGTATGTTCCCTTTTGAATTCAATAAAAATCAGTTTAATGAAGAGTCAGAAACTTATAGAGCTATCATAGAATCTGTGATGAGATTCTAAAACTAGGTATGATGCCTAAGATTTTCTATATGTCCTCTAGGGACCTTGGTAGCGACTCTTCAGATGGTTAAAAATCCTATTTTGACATGCCTCATCCTCCCTTTCTCTAACACACAAAATTCAAACATAGCTGCTGTCTCCAAATTTCATTTACAGTACTCCTATTAATTTCTGCAACCAACCACCTTCAAACCCCTAGCCAATCTCGATCCTTTCTTACACAGACTAAGGTCCTCAATCTATAAATTTTATCTTATCTAAGCCCACAAATATGTCGATGATGGGAGGCTCTAGCACTAGTTATAGACTTTATAGTATTCTCCTACATCATTTCCTGTATCAGAGTTAGTAGAGAGTGCTTCTTCACACTTGCCCTCCCTTAGCTGTGCACAACTTAAAACTTCATCTCTTTTGTTTTTTCCGTTTTGGGAAAGTATGGTCACAGCTTTCCCTTCTTATATACTCCACACAACACAAAAAAAATTTATCAAAGAAAGGACTTCTACAGGACCCCACATATGCAAACGTTAAGTGCCTATAAGGCTACGAACGTCTTTAGGACCAACCGCATCATAGAATTATAAGCCACAAATACGATTGAACAAACTTGGAAAGTGGACAAAGAAGCAACGAGAGGTTCACCAGCCAGCCTTAAAGAGTTAAAGTTGCTATATCTGATTAGGAAGAATACAGAAAACCCTATGCTTCCATAAGACCTCAGCCAAAAATCAAATAAACCTGTAGTCGTTACAGTCAAAACCCATGAAATGAGATGCCAGGGAAGAATCTCAATTTGACATTCTCACCAGGAATAACAGCGTCAATAATTATCCATGGCCACCTGTAATAAAGCTGCTATAAAATGGGAGCTTTACAAAGACTACCAATTTATCACCTTGAACAACAAATCTTATGATTTCAAAAAAAAATACATCAAATATTACAATGACTGTAAAAGCCACATAAAAGCGTATTAATCTTGATCTCGTATCTGGGAAATAGCAAAGGGAAAGCATGTCCGCTCAATATTTGGGTCGGCTACATAATTTTCTTTTCCTTTTTTTGACACTTCTCTAATTATAATGTGATTTCCAAGAATGAAAATTCTAGCTAAATATTAAAAAAAAAACTAAATACATAAAATATTGAACTCTATACAAGCATATATTTTACGCTTCATAAGAAGCAAATCTTGTGACGTAAGCACCGGTTACCTCAGGCGGTGCGGCACAAAGCATGTAGAAACAGTGGTAATTCCTCTCAGGATCGGACACTTGACAAACACGAGACCTCTCCAGCAGATAAGTTCTGATGGCAGCTCCTGAAATCTTTCCTCTCTGGTCAAACTGAATCTCCACAAATTTACCAAAACGACTGCAGCATATACGACATAAGGGTATAGATGGAGACCAATCAACCATGCAGAACTAGCAAAATTGTGCAACATATACAGAAGTTAGATCGTAAATGCAAAATCTTCTCACCTCGAGTTATTGTTTCTGACAGTCTTCGCATTACCAAATGCTTCTAGAACGGGATTCGACTGTAGAACAAAATAAACACAACCAAAACACTTACCATGGACAATTAAGGAACCTAAACGTGTACTGAAATACTCAAAATTTGACCTCAGAATAATACACTTCCTCATCTAAACCAACTGAAATGCAACACTTACCTCCAGGACTTTCTGTTCAACAGTTCTCCCCTCAGTTGCAGCTCTTCCTCCCATGTAAGCAAGATACCGCATAAGCAATTTTGTGCTTTCTGTTTTACCTGCCCCACTCTCACCACTAACCAAGATTGACTGACTAATTCCCTCATTGATCATAACTCTGCATTTACCGAATGTCCTTAACCATAGTGATGTGTAGTAAAAGAACTGAAATTATCAACTCATAATGAGAACATAAATAAAAACCTATATGCCGCATCTGCAACAGCAAAAGGGTGTGGACTCAGTTCACCAAAGGCTGCCCCTTTGTATTGTGCCATCATATGACTATCATATAGATGTGGTAATTTTCTGAAAGGGTTCACAGCAATTAATATACTTCCCGTGTATGTCTGGAAGAAATATCAAGTTGATTAGCTACAATAATATGCTAGGAAAAAGATGAAAAATATGCTACCAACATCAAAGGATGTGTAGGGGGTGAATGTATCACTTACATAGATTTCATTGATATCATATCTCGATTTTAAATTATCCAGAAGTCCTGGTTCATGTAAATAAGCCAGCTTTGTCATGTCATCCACTCCACATGGTGGTGCTTCAGCATCTTTTGGATAAATACAAGAAGATTTAACAGCAACCTGCAATTTTTATTTGACAAGAGAAATAAATGACCAAAGCATCCTCAATCTTTCCATATTTCTTCTCAACTACCAAAAATGCCTAGAAGTGTGTAATGGAAATGATTTTACAGAAGATAAAAAGTTGCTGGATGAATTTCCACTTGTCAAAATTTCATATAAAAAATAAAATATTGAAAAGAAACAAATAACAAGCTATTATTCAGTACGTCAACGATAACAAGCAGTTGAAGCAGATATACTCTTTAAATTTTAAAGCAAAAAATGTGATTAGAGAAAACTTACCGTCTTCCCTGAAGTACAAAGAACCTTAATGTCTTCACCATTGACCTCCACAATTTCACCATCTAACCATGCTACATCAGGATCCTCCACCCAAACAAGGGATCCAACCCCTAAGCTGGCTGAAAGAACCTATAGAACCAAGAGAACCCACAGTTTAAGAATTTAATATCCCTAAATAGTAGTCTAGTACCAATGTTGATAAAGGAAGTATATAGTTATGCATTTTCAGAGTAAACAACTATTAAAGAAAGCAGTTAAAAATCCCAAACTGAGCCCTTTAGTGCACCCCAGAAACAACAGAGTCCATGCCAATCATAAAATTGGCTTACAGCCGTCATTATTCTAATTCATAAATATTTGCTATTACTATAAAACTCTCAATAAGATTATTGTTCTGCAGGAAACTTCCCATAAAATGGTTATTTCTGTACAAAACCCCACACAGAAAGCCTGGTGTCATATCAAACCAGAAAAATTATTCCAGGAAAAGTAATTCAGCACCTTTATCAGTAGAGATTTGGTATGATCAAAACAACAGCTTCTAACAAAATAATGTTGGCAGGTCATCAAGGTATTACTCGGCTTGATCTCTTTTAATCTAGCATTACCATTATTCGCACAAAATGATTGTCCTATTATTGCTGCTCAAAAAAAATTTGCACCAAGCACTGGTCATTTAAAACAGAAAATTGAGACCAAAATCTTTCAAATTTTTCACTAGAACCATGTGGATTCTAAACTATTGTGCAAAAGCTGAAGAATGGTGAGGAAGGAGCTGCGAATTTGTGGCTGAAATTTTAACTGTTCCAAACCACTTTTGATGGGGATCGTGTAGGAATTAGATAGATATTATAGATTAATTATGATAGTTATTTAGATACTTTTAATATTTATCTTTTAAGTAATTTTTTTTAACTTATAAGGGTTTATTTGTCATTATTTATTTGTTTTAGGGTTTAGTTTTCCTATATAAAGGAATGCATCTATGGGTTATTTAGATTATACTTTGATTATTATTGATTACTAATATTGAATCTTCTTCCTCAAATTCTCTCTCTTTCATCATCCCCTTCTTTTTTTTTTCATCCCTTTATTCTTCCCTTTTTCATCCCTAATTCTTCCCTAATACGATTTACATCAATTAGGTATCAGAGCAAATATGATTTACATCAACTTTCCTTCCCCTTGGAGAATCACAAGGAACTTAATCCAGACAATAATTTCATTTCTTGAGTCCAGTCGTATGCAATTTTCTCAAACGTAAATTTTTCTTGTGTGGAAGATTTTTAGAACAAAATGAAAAGAAGGGATGAGAAAACAAAAATTAGAAACCAGCGAGAAGAAGAATCTAACAACAGAAAAGAATGAACACAAAAGGCAACCAAACCAGTTCTTAGTAGGTCATTTTCCACGACTACAGCAAACAACTAAGCTATATATAAGTAACATATCTGTTTGAAAGATAACACAGTCATTACAAAAAGTCTTAATATGTCATACAAGAGATAAGGAAAAATTGAAGTAAAAGAATATCAAGCCCCCACAACAAGAGTTTTAACTTTATCCACCGCTTGACACCATCAGTTTCTTGGTTGAAACGGAAGTTCAGCTTGTAATGCAACAACCCAAATAGCCATCAAGAAATGCCATAAGCACACACACATAAAATATCGCATCAAAATCTATAAGTTTGGACTGAATCATTCAAAACAAGGATGGCAATTCCGGACGGTAAACGGATTAAAGAAAAAACAGCAAACTGAAAGAAACCAAAGCAGATTCCTAAAATTCACCAACAAGAACTAATCTTTAAGAAAACAAGTAAACACAGGAATATAAAAGAAACCTATGCCGATAAGAAACACATAAAACAGCAAAATTCAGTACCATTGCTAATAACTTCAATCAGATCAGAAACTTTAACGACATGTCAATCAACTTATAATACCTCCAAAGAATGATAGTTCGATCCAATAGAGATCAAAAAACAACCGAGTCTTTCAACTTCTGTACTGTACTTGACCAAACGCCATTGTATTGTCTTTAAAATTACTACAACAACTATAAACTTTGATTCTTGTATTCAAGAAAAGGTTTTAAGCATCAAAACAACCAATATCAGTTGTAGGATGAGCTAAATTCTTTCACCGGTCAAAATTTTGGTTGAAAAATTTCACAAATCGGTCTGGTTTTATTAGAGAGAGAGAGAGATCCTTGTGAAGCAAAGCAAAAGCCTTCCTTAAGTCTTTATCAATTATAAGCTACTTGGATTGATTCATTCAAACCAAAGATTGCTATTCTGGATCATAGAAAGATTCAAGAAAAAACAGCAAACTGAAAGAAACCACAGCAGATCAGTAAATCAGAGTAGCAGCAAACACAGGAATTCATCCCAATATATATATACACTAGAAGAATAAAGAAAACTATGCTAAGAAGAAACACATAAAAACAACACAATTCAATACCATTTTTTGTTAACTTCAATCAGATCGGAAACTTCAATGACGTCTCGATCTGCTTCCGATTCCTCCAGCGAATGATAGTTCAATCCAACACAGATCAAACAACAACCGAGTCTTCCAGTAGCTGTAGCAAAATCCCAATCCAAACTCACAACTTCTGTTACTTTTCTTAACCTAACGGTCTTCTATTGTCTTCAAAACTAACACAACAGCAATGACCGCTGCTTTCTTGGAAATAATCAAAAACAACAAAGATCAGACTCCAGAATGAGCTTAATTCTTACACCAGTCAGATTTTTTAAAGAAAAAAGATTAAACAATCGATCTGGTTTTACTAGAGAGAGAGAGAGAGAGATTGAACGCTTTCTTTGTGAAGCAAAGCCAAAGCCTTTCTTGATGTGTATGTTTTCTTTCTTTTTCTTCTCTCTCTCTCTTTTTCTTACTCCTTCCCTCCCACGGCATTCGGGATTTAGTCAAGTTCATTAATAATAGTTAACTTGCTAATTAATATTAATAAAAACGCTCCTCTGTTGGTGACATTTCGAGAATACCCTTGTTAATATTATTTTATTACATAAAGTGGCGGTTGCGGTGTGAACTTACAGCTCAGACACGCGGACAAGGTTTGCGTGGGACCCACACTGCGACCTTTTAAAACGCGATACGGTCATAATTAGCTGTTGTTTGATACCCCCACACATTATACTATGTCGTTTTCGTACCATGAACTATTTTGCTCGTTATGTTGTGGCCGACAAAAAAATCCCAATTAGGGTAAAAAGGATCGGACCATTGGAGGTTGTTATAGAAAAGTTCATTTCTTTTTCATATTCATAACCGCCAAAACCTTATGATACAAGTTTAAATCAATTTGAAACAATTTTGCTCTGTCGAAGTGTGTACATGTTTGTTATTTGAAATTGAAAACAAAATGGGATTGTTGTTCAAAAGGTTATATCAAAAAATAATTTGATATACTTAATTATTGTATTTTTTGTTTTGAAAAATCTCGATTGTTGTATTTTATTGAATAACTAGTTATTCAAGCACATAGTAATAAAAAATGATAAACAATAAACATATTTGTATTCATATCTAAAATCAAATCACAAATATAGAGAAGAGATAAATAAATTTAAGTATCAGTTATAGTGAATGTGAGAAGTGGTGGGTGGCAATGGTGGTGGTAGGAGACGGTGATTGTTGTGGTGATGTGGCAATGACTGTGGTGGCAGTGGTGGCGGCGATAATGGTGGTGGTGGTGGCTGCGACAGCGATGATGGCGGCGACGGTGATAGTGACAGCGGCGGTGGTGATGGTGGCGGTGATGACAACGATGGTGGGGATTATGGTGGCGATGGCGATGGCGATGTCGGTGGGGGTGGTGAGGGTGGCGGCGGTGGTAGTGGTGGTGGTGATAGTGGTAGCGACGGCAGCGATGATGGTGGTGGTAGTGGTGGTGGCGACGATGGTGGCGGCAGTGGTGGGGTGATTTCAACACTACTTTTTTTAAAGTATTTATGATAAATAATTTTTAAAAGTACTTTTAAAAAGTCACTCTAAACACATCTTTAGCGCCCTATTTTTTCTATTAAATTTAGGGTATTAATATTAGTCATTAGATTAACTTTAAAGTAAAATTTAAAACGATCTCAACCGCGAATAGGAAAAGTCATTTTGTTTATCTTTTGAAATTTGAATTGTAAGCTACTTTATTATATTAAATAATTAATCAAACAATGTATTTTGAACACAACATTATAAATAATATATAAAAGTCTAATGGTAACACAAAAAAGACTCCACAAAAATATATTAAAGAATAAAGATAAATTCTATCTCGAATATATTATTCACTAACAGAATAAAATCAAAAATGACTATTTATATAAAATATATATAGGCAAAGAAGTGCACACGTCTAATGAAGACCAACAATAACAAAGCACTACACTTCCTCTATCAAAGGATTTAGTATGAAAAACCTAGCTAAATTGGGCAAAGACTAACATGTAGTCTCATTTCATTGTCACCAAATAAAAGTATTTGTTAACTAATTGTGATTTTATACCCCAAAAGAATTGTCATTTTAAGGGTGCTTATGAGACTCATGAGGGGTGCTTCAATGATCAGTTCAATTAATTTGGGTTGATATTGTGCTTCAAACAAACACGAGTAGTCGTGGAGAAGGCTATTTTATTGCTCTCTAAGATTTGCCAGTTAAACAAGTCTTTCATCTAATTTTTATTTATTTTTAATTTTAGTTATAATCTTTAAATTGTATATGTAGTAGTGGTAACCTATACACTCACAAGTTATGTAGTACAACTTGTATGTTCAAAAAATAAATTTTAGTGAAAGTTAGGGTTGAGTTCTTCTTAAAGGACTTATAAAACTCTAAAATACCCTTCTTTAATGCTCTGTTTGGTAGAGAGGATAAAAAATGAGGGATACACTTTCTATTCTTAAAGGATGAAAAGTATGAAGGATACACTTTCTTTCATTTGTGTTTGGTTGGATGGATGGAAAATAAAAATGACTATTTTTTTTTTTGTGTTGGCTAAGATTAAAAGTGACAATCGAGTCGAGTCGTGTCGTGTCAGATTCGTGTTGAGTCATTACGAGTTTGCGTCAAATATTAGTTAAATTTAACTTAACTCATTTAACTAATTGTGTTGTATCGAATTGCGAGTTGAGCTGTTTATTTTCGCATCGAGTTCAAGTCATGTCATCGTGTTGAGTCAACAATTTTCACTCTTAATTAAGATAGAAAAAAAAATTAATTTAAAAAATATATATATTTTTAAATTTTTTAAATTATTTTAAATTTTTTAATATATATATATATATATATATATATATATATATATATATATATATATATATATTTTTCCATTGTATTTTTATATGAAATTAATGTATACATGAGATATATAGACAAATAAGATACATCTCAACACAAATAATTAATTTTTCATCCACTTTCCTTCCGATTTTGGAATAATTGATTTTGGTGAGTTGGAAGGAAAGTTAATTCATCAACTTTTTCATCCTTCATACTTTCATTCCTTACCAAATATGATATTTTATTTATCCCTCGAACTTTCATCCTTCCACTTTTTTATCGTACCAAACGGAGCATAAAAATAACTCCAATTAATTTCCTATTGTGGAATTGTTATCCTTTAATTCAACGTCAATTGAGATATGTCAATAGAACTTCCATCATAAATTTGAAATTCAAATTCAAATCTCTGTCTCTATCTCCGATTAGTGAATGCCCGCTTCATAAGAGAGTAGGCTATGTTCATCCCCAATCTCAATTTCACCCGATTTTTTCAATGGGCATGAAATAGCTATATTTTCTCGGAAAATATGTTAGACACCATAGCTAGACAAGCTAGACTGTTCAAGTTGTTGTTCATCTTTAAAAACTCCGTTGGAGGTTCAAGTGAGTGCTTATAATACAGAGTCAAAATAACATGTAAAATGTGAAGAATTTACATAAATATCCATCACCCACTTTATACATCACACAACGTTGCAAACAAAACTAGTTCGTTGCCATTAATTTTTTATTTTTTTTGGCAATTGGCAAGTGAATGAGCAATTAGAACACCATTACAGAGTCCTTACCAACACTTGATGATGATGGAGAAGCAAAGATGGAGTGATTTGGATTTGTTTATGATTCGATGCTTTCAAATTATTGTGTTTGTTGTTTTTTGTTGGAATTATATTATGACTTTGGGGTGTGATTTTGGTTGACTTTATTTATATGACGAATCTATTGATTTTGGTGATTTTTTTAAAACTAGCAATGTTTGAAAGGTAATTAATTTGGTAGCTAATCATGATTGAATTATTGGTATTGATTATATGTTACTATTTTTTTTTAATGATTCATGTTACTATTTTTTTTGTTGAGCATATTATTGGTTTTGTTGAGCATGTTACTATTGTTATTTTTTCAAATATTAATAATCAATGTTACTATTTTTTGTGTTTAGATGTTATTATTTTTTATTTTTAATATTACTATATATATATATATATGTGTGTGTGTGTGTGTGTGTGTGTGAGAGAGAGAGAGAGAGAGAAATAATTTTAATGTTAGTCCAACTCTTAAAATTTAAGAGTTGTTAGTTTTTAAATAAATATTGTTATTGAGAGTATTTTGAATAATGAAAATCAAAATGAACTTATTCTCAAACAAGTTTCCTTATGACACATTTGTTTTGAGTATTTTTTTGCATAGGATTAAGAAATGTATTCTTTACATTTTCAATACCAATGAAAGTTAGTACCGATAATAGAAAGTATTTCAATTCCCTCTAATGTTTGTTTGTTCAATAGGGTACTATGATGAGTCTCACAAACAACCATCTATTCTATCACATCTTGTATAACAAATATACTATATACAATTGTACCTTTAACATCATCTATTTCGTTATTCCGTTTGTGTAATGTTTTTTTTACAATATTTGGTGTAATACATGATATGACAATCCATACCCAAAAAATTTCAGATAATGTAAAAAATTCACATAAAAAATAAAGAATATGATGCTATGAATCAATGACATTGTAAAAAAAATCAGTAATACCGTACACTTAAATATAATACAAAGAAAAAATTCAACATAATTTAAAAAAAAATGGTGACACTCTACACTTAAACATAATACAAGAAAAAAATTTAAAATATTTTTTGTTTAAAAAAAAAAAATCGGTGATACCGTACGCTTAAACATAATATAAAGAAAAAAATCAAAATAAATTTTTTATATGTGAACTCTACAAATGAGGGTATTTGTGTCATTTTTCTTGCTTGTATTGTCGATGAATTTTATACCAGCAAATAATACTACTTGGTCGATGGTATTCATTAAAGCCATGTAAAACGGTTAAATACTTCTATACAAATCAGGTCGATATTGCAACTTGAAAAATAGTATTGTTCATAAAATGCCAATCAAACAAGGTAATAGGTGAACCTCAAATACTATTTTTTGTTATCCCACCCCATAATACCACTAAAACTCCCAAACAAACATGCTCTTAATGTACTTATCACCAAATAAGTACACATATCGGGACTACCCAAAATTTTCCTAAATTTTATAGTCCTCCTCTGGATACCTAGATAGGTCCAATCCAACTTCATCACGATGCGGGCGTGGGTCTACAAATACCCGACCCAGACTATAGACACCATTACCCTTACATTGGAAGTCAAAAACAATACAAAAGTATGAGTAAGTGGATATTCCTTTCACTCATTTGATTATTCTGAATTTTGTAAGTTGTGCTAATTAAATTTTAAAATAAATAAATAAACTAAAGGCTGTGCGTGCTGATTTTCGCACAACAATAAAAGTAGGAACAGATTTTTCCCACGATGAACTGTGGTTCAACAAGACAGTAATTCC